TTTTTCTCCAGTTGCAAATCTTGTATTTTGAATATTTATTTATTTATTTTTGTACTTTGAATATTTATGAAGCATTGTTGAAACAATGAAAGACATCAATAATGTTCATATCTTTAATAGGAGATCTGAAATGAGGAAATGATGGATGACGGGAGTGTAAATATCATGTGACAGGAAAAGGTATAAAGTTAGGAGTGAAAGAAGTAAACAAAGTTTTATGAGCTGTTGGACTGTACACTTGGGAGTATGTTGTATTGACTTCATTTGGGCCACATTTTGAGTAAACAGGCTTGGGATTGGTCTGCATGTCTACTTTGATTATATAGATTGCGTCCCTTATTTGAAATGATATTAGGTTACTTCTCTCAAGAATACTGTTTCTAATAACTCTCTTCACAGTCAGGTGTCTCCTTAACTCCTTTTATTAGTAATTGGCTTTCCTATCGTATTACCTAAATTACCTAACCAGCTAGTCTATTTAGTTTCTTGACCAAGGGATTTGGTCTCTTATCATACTGTCTAGCTTCTTTATAGTCAAGAAGGACAAAAGAAAACTAGACCAGAATTTCCTCCAGCAGCATGACATTTTATTTTTCTACTTTATCTTAATTATTTAAAATAGGTTCCCTCTCCAATCTGCTGCTGTTAGCAGGTCCAGCCCATACTATTTTGCTAATTTCTATTGTAGAGCGATTAGGAAGGAAGCAGTGCCCTAACCAATATCTCTATCAGGAGGACTTGCCTGCTACATGCAGGCATTAAGCATGCCAAACACCCTCATCGCTTCCCAAGCAGACTGACTAATGATTCAGTATCCATGTAGTTGCATGAAATTGACTGAGGGTCTTCCTTCTCCCATCATTGCTAATACCTCTCACCAGTTATTAGTAAAGGCAACAATTCTAAATTCTCCCTCTTTAGATTAGACTGAAAACTGAGTTCCAGCTACAGAATCACTTCAGCACTCACTAGTTATATTCAAATAAAAAAATAATCTTAGCAATACAAAATAGTAAGCATAACCAATTGCCTGTGTTTTTCTTCCCACATGGCAAACAATTTCTGTAGGACTGGTATCTACAGTCCTACAGAAAATGGTTAGGGAAAAGATTACATCACCTCTACTTCAGCATTCCTCCTCCCTCACCCAGTTCACACATTCACAATTGTTTTTAACATTCAGGATAACTTTAGAAGATCTATCTCCCATTTCTCACCAACTTGGCCACTAGATATGATGCTCTGTGTCTGTCTTTTATTTCACCATATTGGAACCTACATCAGAGGAAAACCAATCAGCAGGATTTCTTTGAACAGGGGAAGATGGAATGTGCATTTCCATCTGTAATATCTCTAGAAAGGCATGGTGGAAAAAACAAATTAAGTTAGATCTGATAGTTTAATCTGAACCTTAAATCTGATGAGACTCTCAGTGGTGACAGGCTTTCTTCAGGATTCATTCCCCTTCAGGCATTTCAGTTCTGTCCCATCCCCTTTTCATTATGTCAGTCTTGCCCCTTATCACCATCTGCTGTCCATGATTTTTCTCAGAATATTACACAACACCTTTTAGATTGTCAACAGGAAACACATCAGTCACACAACTGTAGTTAAAATTATTCATGAGTGTCCTTCAGTTATTACTCGTAATCACTCAAATGCCTGTATTTTGGTTCATTTAATGGAAGGTGAAGTTGAGAAATCTTCCTCTGTCTCACACACAAACATACACAAACACTCATTTTCTTTGAAATCAGTTTTAAATAGGGCTGATGTGTGTCACTCATTTACATGACAAGCTGTTCTATCAGTTTAGTTGAAATATTGGAGATATAGGTTTTCAACTATCACTTTGTCACAAAGGTATTTTTAAAATAAAGCATTAATACTTTACCCATTCTTAAGTGGTGCTAGAGACTAATAACAATTAAAATGAAAGCATGAAAGTAGTGGAATAAAAAGTCAAAACTGCAAACACCCATTTGTGCAGTTTAATCAAACATGTTTTAACAAGGTTTTTTAAATGTGAAAAAATCAATTAATTGTGCCAAAAAACTACTTTTAAGCTTTAAAAAACTATTTAAAAAGACAAAAACATGAATCCTTCCTCATTCTGGAGCACAGCTACTGACAAGTCCCTGACTCTAGTCACAACTTATCTTCAGACAGATGTATTCTGTATCCTGGTTAAACCTGTATCCTGGTTTAAGCCATTATATATATGCAGGTGACTTGTGAAAAGAGCTCTTCTTGTCTGCTGATTTCACTGAAATTTGGTGAAATTTTGCAACAATTCTCACCGACCCTGTTCAACTTTAAGAACGTCAGAACAGCACTGCTGTCCTTCATTGATGTTGAAAATGGTTTAAAGGTCAAAATCCTGTTGATGTTTTATGTATGTATTAATTCTCCTATGGGAGCAACTGAGCATTTCTATCCCATGTAGAATATCTGCATTCAGTTCAAAGTTGCAAATGTTCATTCATATGCACATATATATGAGATGTAGTTCATCACTAATTTTCTTCATGA